ATAAAAAAAAAAAAAAAAAAAAAAACCTAAGTAGTGTTTCAACTCAAGCGAAAACATCGAGGAAACAATGATAAGACCGCTTGAAATACACAAAATAAGCACTCTTGCATTTTGTCATAGTGTCTCAACATTGTTTATAGTGTCTCGACGATCACTTATAGTATCTTGACCTTATATATAACGTCTCGATGTTGCCAACGGTTAAATCTAAATGGAGATTTTAGAAGGAATAAATTGGTCATTCACCATAATTTCGACCAATTTGGAGGGTAAGGAGGGCATTCGAGTGTTGAAAAAAATTGATTTTCAAAGCTCGGAACATGAAATTGAGATATATACAAAATCTCGCTAATCATGTTAGATAACACATAAAATATATATATCAACAAGTCAATCAATACTGTGCGTAAATCAAAGGACGATCTATATCATATTTAAAGCATGCATACCTGTTATTAGGATGTCTATGTAGTTAAATCCCTGAGAGACTTAATTCACGAGGGAGATGTCCATAAGCTAGGAGAGGAACCGAGAAGCTTTCTCCTACATAAATCCACTTCAGTTAAGAGTATTTTTTTAAAAAAAATTATTTAAAATTCACAAGTAAAAAAAAAAGGATAATTTTGAAATTTTTGAAAATTAAAAAATATTGCTAAAACAATTTTTTTTAATGTTTTTAAAATATAAAAGGTATTGTTGGGTTTTTTTTTAGTTTAGGGGTAATTTATATAATTTATCTTAGGAAAAATTGTAAATTTGGTCTTTGTTATAAAAAAAAAAAGAAAAAAAAAAAGAATTTAATCCAAATAATTTAAAAAATTAAAAATTGGTCGTATATATAATAATGATTATTTATTATATATATTCTTTTTTTTTTTTTTTTAAAAAGACGGCGAGTAATTAGTAATAAGTGATTTAGCGGAAACTTTTCAAAATATCGGACAACCTTACTATTGCTCGCGGACCTTTTTTTTTTTTGTTTCTCAAAAGTCAGCTCTCTTCTAAGTTCGTCTTGCCGATCCTTGACGCCCCCATAGCGGACGGCGGCGGCGGCGGCGGCGCCTGACCATGCTATTACCCCCCACCTCCTCCTCCTCTTCCTTCCGCTTCTCTTTCCCCTTTCACTATTTCAACAACACCCACTAGACTCTCTTGTTCTTGCGGTTCGCTTCTTTTCACTCCAAGTCACATCCCCAAATGGACCCTTCACTTCTTGACGATATTATCAACCGTCTTCTCGAGGTCCGTGGCCGCGTCGGCAAGCAGGTTCAGTTGTCCGAGTCCGAGATCCGACTACTCTGTCAAGTTTCTAGAGAGATTTTCTTACAGCAGCCTAATTTGTTGGAGCTTGAAGCGCCTATCAAGATTTGTGGTATCTTTTTCCAACAATACTTCTTGCTTTCTCCTGAGATTTACTGATCGGTTCTTGTTTGGTTGGTTGTCTGTAGTTCTTCTTGGGACATTTTTTAAGTTCTTGGTTTGTTGTTGTTGAGATTTTGGAGCTTTTCTTAGTTTTATTTGTTGATGAATTCTATTGAAGTTCTTGATTTTCTGGGTTTTGTGGATTTTCTTTATTGAGTTGTTATGTAGTAGTTAATTGTCAATTTCTTTTACTATTAATCTCAAAGGATAAATCCCATATTATTAATTGGTTATGTGGTTCATAGTTGATGAACCGAGGAGGTCTTTATGTTTGTGTAGATTATTGCAATATTCATACATTGTGTTTTTCATGGAAGCTTTTACATATCTTTGCCAATTTCATTCGTTTTTTGTTTTTTCATTGCTCATTAATCTTGTAATGCTATCTTTGCATTTTACTTGTTCCCTCCCTTCTCTTTAATAATCCCTTATTGTTACAAGTTCTATTATGGCACGCACTCGCGTGTTGGGATTTACAAGTTTGATTTGATTTGTTCGATTGTTAGTCAATATTTTAATAGAAATAGTTGGTACCTTGGCAATCAAATCTAGCAGGGTTAGACAATTGTTCTATGAAAATAGTCAAAGTGCACGCAAGCTGACTTGAACACTCATAGATATGTACATAAGAAAACATATTTGAAGGAGGCTTATTCGAAATGCTTGATGTCTTATTATAATTTCTTAATGATTGGCCCCCAAGGATGGGGTGCTTACTATAATTTCCTAGGGCTTTCCACTTAGGGGGAGCACTAAGTTTGTGCTGGGCCATGCATTCAATTCCATGTAAAGGTGAGATGAGGGCTTTCAAGAGGTTGTGGTTGATGTTGATCCCCATCACTTTGTTGTAGTTTATAATAAGGGCTAATGCTTTTCAAAAAAATATTGAACGGTATCGAAGAGGTTTTTGATGTTTTCTTCTTCAAACGTAGAAGCGAGGACATTTCATATACAAATGGAAAATGGCTTATGGTCTTACAATTACCTCCCCAAGTTGAAGTCTTCAATGAGGTTGGCAGATGAGTAAGAAGAATATAAATATTTACTTTATACACAAGCGTGAATCCATCATTTAAAGTTTGGAATTTAGCTTCAAGAACTGAATCTAGAATTCACTTTCCACCCAGTCAAAAGATTTTTCAAACTCTAGTTTGATGATTATTCCTTTTTTTTCTTTCTTCTATTCATTCATTGATTATTCCACGTCGAAGTATTCATCTAGGATTTGTATTTCGGAAGCAAACTATATGGTTTTCGAATAACTTTTGTGATCCTTTCAAAGAGAACTATTGCGATACTTTTGTTTATACAAGAAATGAGGCTACTGGGACGGATGTCATGGATCGATTAACCTTCTGTTGATGATGTCATTCTTAAAAAAATCATGAAAACACCCTTCTGATAGATCAAGCTTGAGAATGTCCCATGACTTTTTTTTATAGAATTCAATTGTAAAACCATTCTGGTCTGGGCACGTTGTTCGCACCTAGAGACTTAACTAGTCTTCAAGACCTCTACTTCAATGAACTCAATCTCCAACCAGAATTGTTGATGAGTAGAAACAGTACTCCAATTTAGGTTTGATTGAGAGTATATATTGTCTATTCAATTCAGTTATGAGCATCACTATGGTGGCTCTTCCAACTGCTAGAAAGAATCTTTAAAAATGGTGTTTTCCCCCTCCAATCTTTGTTACCCAAATTTTGGTAGCTAAAATACAGTGGAAAATTTTGGTGATCTCATCCCCTCTAATCTTTGTTACCCAAATTTTGGTGTTTTTCCTCTTCTTGGTAGTCATTTGGTCCTACGTTTTTGTTACTCAAATTCTTCTTTTGCATTGAGTGGACAAAATTAGGTTCTTCATGTTGAGTCGGGGTGTTTTTTGATCAACAATGAATAGTGTCACTTCCTCATGAGCGTTAATATTTTGCAAATCACTACATAGCTTCCTCATGAGAGTTAATTTTAACTCTTGTTTAAGGTTTTCCCTTGACCGGTTCATGATGGAGCATTTTTCCACCCATTATCAATGAAAAGGAGAAAATAACGACCTCCTCAGAATTTTATTTTAAGAAGGCTTATGATCATATGGGGATTGAAGTTGCTTGGATAAAGCATTGTGGAGAAAGGGTTTAAAGCTTGAGTGAAGATCATGGATTTGGAATTCTTTTCCATCGATAACTCCTTCATCTTGATTGTTGGTAAACCAAATGGACCGTTTGGTTGAAGGTTTTGTTAGGTGGGAATGGGCATGGACAAGCTAGAGTCATGTTTGTTACAAAATTTTCAACAGGAAATAATTTATTCTTAGGCAGTATATTTTCTTATCTGTCCCTTCTCCTTTGTTTTCATAAATAAATACAAACATATTTTATTCCTATAAAATTTTGGTAACATTTTTCATGCGCAATCAAACACAATAATATTTTATTCTCAACCATCTTATTCTCAAATATATTATTCTTTGACATTTTTTATTCCCATGCATATATGAAACCTTAAACCAATCTCCTATCTTCTCGTTGTGGTTGGAGATGTTCTTAACTGGGGAATTTCAATTGGGGTCATTAAGGGTATTGAAGGTTCAATGCAAGCTGTCTTCGATTTGGAAATGAAGATCTTCTTTTGTTTTTGGTCAAGGAGGGTTCTTTTATTAGTCTTTACTCCATTTTGGCAGTATTTGAGATTATTTAATGGCTTAAGATTATTAGGGACTTGACAAGGTTTATCCATTCCATATAAGTTGTTAGTTCCCAAAAACCTTGAGAGATAAGGGCAAGGTGTGAGATTGGTACCATTGATTTTATCCATTCCACATAAGTTGCAAGAGTTCCTCTTTTCTTGTCTTCTTTTAATTCTTCTTCTTCTTCTTCTTCTTCTTTTTTTTTTTCCCTTAATGATGCAAGGTGAGGCTTTCTTCTCTAATGGTGCGAGATTGACATGCTTTCATTTATGATACTTTCTACTATGTAAGTTAGGGTGGGTGAGAGATTCTCTATGGGTAGGAAGGTCTCATTTGGTTTGGTGGAAAAGATCATGAGATGTTTAACCTCAATGAGCTTTTCATGCAACATGCTTATGATTGTTGTCCTGATGAGTGGATTACAAGCCACGACTCTCTGGACTCTTGGAGGATTTTCCTGACTAGTCAACTAATTGTCAATTTCACTGCAGAACCGTTTAAAACTATTTTCTAAACCACAGGAACTACTAATGTGTTACTTTGAAATCTTTGGTTGGGACAAAATTTGGGAATTAAACTTTTTTCATTTTTCTCAGTCTTTTCATAAAAAAAATGAACAGTGCTGAAAAATTATAGCCGAAGTGCCCAAACTTTGTTCTTAACTGCAGCTTTTGAGTATCTTGTCTCAAAGCGACTGATCTGCAGGACCACTTATTCTTTCATGTTTATGACTTTGGTACTTTTCATTCAAAGTGGCGAATCAGTCATAACTACACTGAGCAATTATGCAGTCATGGATTCAATCAAATGGGTGAAGATCTTGTAGATTAATATAAAAGCTTTCATTTGAGGTTTATGGTTATAAAGGAATAGAAGGATGTTCAAAGGAAGAATAAGCACGAGTTGTGGAGAGATCCTTAATTTGCCTTTCGTTTGTTTAAAAAAAAAAAGAAACTGAATCGATTGGAGATGGGCTAAGTCGTATGGCAGCTTAATATTAGGTTGTGATCATGTATGGCTGGTTTCTCTCAACACTTCTATGTGCCTCGGTGTAGAGCTTGATTCTGTTTTTCAACCAATTCCTTTGTATTTGGTCGTTTTGCTAGTTAGGTAGCAATAATATGGTGTATACGATAAACTTAGATTGATTTGCAAAAAAAGTACTGCACATAAAATAAATGCATCAATGGTAGAATTCAACGAATTACATTTTCGACTGAATATATTGGTCACTCAATCAGAAATATCTTGTTTTCGTGCATGCAAAACAAACTTTGCTAGCTCGAATGGATAATCTAGAGATCCTGATAACTGATTATATTTGTCTTCAGTAATCGTGGGTCCTGCTGATATTGTACTATTTCTGACATGTAGGTGACATACATGGGCAATATTCTGATCTATTAAGGCTTTTCGAATATGGTGGGTTGCCGCCTCATGCTAACTACCTGTTTTTGGGGGATTATGTTGATCGAGGCAAGCAAAGTATTGAAACAATATGTCTTCTCCTGGCTTATAAAATAAAATACCCAGAGAATTTTTTCATATTGAGAGGGAACCATGAATGTGCTTCTATAAACCGAATATACGGCTTTTATGATGAGTGTAAAAGAAGATTTAATGTTAGGATATGGAAGACATTCACAGATTGCTTTAACTGCCTGCCCGTGGCAGCTCTTATTGATGAAAAAATTCTCTGCATGCATGGAGGTTTGTCTCCTGACCTGACTCATTTGGATAGAATTAGAAATATGTCAAGACCAACCGATGTACCGGACACGGGTTTGCTCTGTGATCTTCTATGGTCTGATCCTAGTAAAGATGTTCAAGGTTGGGGAATGAACGACAGGGGTGTTTCGTTTACTTTTGGTGCTGACAAGGTGACGGAGTTTCTTCAGAAGCATGATTTGGATCTCATTTGTCGTGCACATCAGGTTTTTTCTGTTTCAATTTTCGTCTTTAAAATCTTGAAGACTGATTCTACTTTCTTCCTCGTTTTGAGCTTCTAATCTTTTAACTCGTCATTAATTTTATAGGTTGTGGAGGATGGATATGAGTTCTTCGCAAATCGTCAACTTGTAACTATTTTTTCAGCACCTAATTACTGTGGGGAGTTCGATAATGCTGGTGCTATGATGAGTGTGGATGAGACGCTTATGTGTTCATTTCAAATACTAAAGCCCGCAGATAAGAAGCCTAAGGCGACTTTTGGAAGCACTACTACCACAAAACCTGGAAACCCTCCAGCAGGGGTTAAGGTAAACACAGCATTTTGGAAAAAATCTCTCATATTATTACTAGCATTAGTTGGAAGCTTTTATTTACCATTAAGATTAACATGGGATCTTTACTGACCAATTCACTTTCTCAAATATATGATTCTGTAACCTCGAGTCCTAATATCTCATGCGACAATGCTTGTCGATGATTTTCTGGATAGTTCGTTTGGATCACATAAGTAGTTTGTGTAGATTTCGGTCTTTTGTCGATGATTTTCTAGATACTTCGGGTTACATAAGTAGTTTGTGTAGATTTCAGTCTCCGTCAACTAAATTGACCCATTAGCTATTCGTAGTTAGGTTGAGTTGGAAGAGTTCATCCGGGTGGATCAAGTCTGTATAGAATCTAATGTACATACTTGGGAACTTTCTGTTTGTTTTGATCTTGAAATTTTGCAGGCCTTCCTTGGTTCAAAATGATGATTTGGTGAGGGAGGCACCTAAAAAGGAGGGCTTTTGCGGCCAGTTGAGTCTACAAAACTTGGAAGTTTTAACTTCTGGAGGAAACTATAGGAGGATTGATCACTTGATTCTAAACTTGAATGTTGAAAATTGTATAAAAGAAATTCAAAATGATTACAAATACTGTTTTCCTCGATGCAAATTTTCAGTTATCGAAGATGGTAGGCTGCAAAAGCCTGCCTTTCTTCCTTGTACACTAGTTGGCAGCGCCATCGGTGTTATCAGTGCTACAAGTTTTTACTGCATGTGTTGTTGCCTATTTAGATATGTTTCTCATATTTCTTTCTTGATTCGATGTGTTTGTTATTCATATAGTTCCCACAATGATTTGGTATTCAAAGCCATGTCTTGATATGATGTGTGATAGTTCTTGGTTGAGTTTGAACGTTTTATTAGTGCGAGCATTACTTTCACTTGTTGAGCTTGTGTAGAGTTTGGTCGTTGGTGCATAATTTCAGTGCAATTAAGTAATTAATCAATGGTGATCGTACAACCATTTCTTGTGTCAGTATCAAGTTTATGCAAAACTGTGCCTCACACTATTGAGGACATATTCTATTTATATTGGCAAAAGATTAACTAATAGATCCGATTTCATAGGAAACTAACGAAGTAAGCCTATTCTTATGGCATGACTAACTTCAAGCTATTCTAATGGATTGACCAATTCTAACAGTCCCCTTCAATCCCAACAAGTCTTGTACATGTTGAGATTGTTACAATGTGTAGTAAAAGGAGTTTTAGACAGTGGTTTTGTCAGGATATCAGCTACTTGATCACTTGATGAAATGAACCGAACTTCCATTGCTTTACGTGCTACTTGTTCTCGAACAAAATGAAAATCAACTTCAATATGTTTCGTTCTAGCATGAAATACTGGATTTGAAGTTAAATATGTAGCTCCGAGGTTGTCACACCAGAGGCGAGGAGCCTTTGATTGATACACGCCCAGTTCCTTCAGTAATGACTTGATCCAAATCATTTCTGCAGTAAGATTCGCAATGGCCTTGTATTCTGCTTCGGTGCTTGATCTTGACACTGTAGCCTGTTTTCTGGAACTCCATGAGATTAGATTTGCTCCAAGAAATACAGCAAAGCCGCTAGTTGAACGTCGATCATCGGGACAACCAGCCCAATCAGCATCAGAAAACCCCGACAACATCATGGTTGATTTCTGAATTTTCACTCCTAATGCTAGTGTGCCTTTAACATAACGAAGAATTCTCTTCACAGCACCCCAATGAGCATCAGTAGGTGTATGAAGATATTGACACACTTTATTGACAGCAAATGCCAAATCAGGCCTAGTCATTGTCAAATATTGTAGTGCTCCCACTGTACTTCTGTATTTGAATTGTTCTTCAGCTGATAAGGGTATTCCTTGTTCTCTGAATAATTTTTCAGCAGAACCCATTGGTGTAGACATAGGTTTGCATTTTTCCATGTTTACTCTTTTCAACAAATCTAAAGCATATCGTCTCTGTGACAGTATGATACCATCTCGTGTTTTCTTGACTTCAATACCCAGAAAATACTCAAGATCACCCAAATCTTTTACTGCAAAATCTATTTTCAATTTCTGAATCAACCTTTCGGTTGCTTGATCAGAGGAGCTCACAATAATTATATCATCAACATAGATGAGCATATAGATAGTTATCTCTCTGTTTTTGAGAATAAAAAGAGATGAATCAGCTACTGAAGCCTTGAAGCCTAACTCAATAAGTTTTCCAGTCAACCTTGAATGCCAAGCTTTTGGGGCTTGTTTCAGGCCATAAAGGGCTTTCTTGAGCTTGCATATGTAATTCTTTGGTTTGGCTGAGTCTTGAAATCCTGGTGGTTGTCGCATGTACACTTCCTCTTTCAGAATTCCATGCAAAAATGCATTTTGGATATCAACTTGTCTCATATTCCAGCCCTTGGTTACTGCTAGCGAAAGAATGACCCTGATTGTTGACGGTTTGATCACAGGGCTAAAAGTATCAGTGTAATCAACACCAAATCTTTGCTTGAATCCTTTGGCAACTAATCTTGCTTTTAATCTTTCAACTGACCCATCTGCTTTTCTTTTCACTTTATACACCCATTTACTATCAATGAGATTTATTCCAGGTTTGGGTGGAACTAGATCCCAAGTGGCATTTCGTTTTAGCGCTGAGAGCTCATCATTCATTGCTCCTCTCCATCCTGGATGTTGCATGGCTTCCTGCAGGTTTCGAGGTTCAGTAGCAGTCTCTATGATCGGAGTTGTGATAGTTACAGCGCTTGCGAATTTTCTTGAGGTTTCTGAATATCTGATAGTTCCATCAGTGAATTGTTTAGCTTGTACAATGTTATTTCTCAACCTTGTTCGCATTGGATGTTGACTAGCTGCTTCAGTTGGTTGATCAGACACATGTTCATGAGTTTGGTTTTGAGCATTGATCGAACTGCTCTCAGCTTCATATTCTGCAATTTCCTCTGAACTTCTTGTATTATCTGCAGAAGATAAGCTGACACCAGACAAGTTGTCACTAGCAATATTATCAGTTTGACCATCATTCATATGGGAATTACTAACAACTGGTTCAATATCTGTAAGAGCATTTTCAGTGTAAAAACTAGCAAGTTTGGCTAAGGCTGGAAGTAGAACAGGATGATGTGGATTTGTGGTTTTGTTTGGTGGCTTAGATTCTTCAAAAGGAAAAATATTTTCATCGAAAACCACGTCTCTAGAGATGTAAATACGTCCTGTACTTCTATTTAAGCATTTATATCCCTTATGAGAAGAACTATAACCCAAGAATATACATCTAGTAGTTCTGAAACTCAGTTTCTTGTTGTTGTAAGGCCTTAAATTAGGCCAGCAAGCACAGCCAAACACCCTAAGCATGGAGTAGTCTGGACTTTTACCAAACAATTTATGAAGTGGTGTGTCTTGTTGTATGGTTCGGCTGGGCATTCTATTTATAAGAAAGCAAGCTGTGTTGAAAGCTTCATCCCAGTAGGATAGAGGCATGTTGGCTTGAGCGAGTAAAGCAAGGCCAGTTTCTACAATGTGTCTGTGTTTTCTTTCGACTAACCCATTCTGCTGGTGTGTGTGAGGACAGGAGATATGATGTTCAATGCCTGTGGATTTGAAATAATTGTGTAACCGATGGTATTCACCCCCCCAATCTGATTGGACGGAGCGAATTTTGGTATTTAGCATAGTTTCAACATGTTTTTGAAATTGAAGGAACACAGACTCAACATCAGATTTGCATCTCAGAAAGTAAATCCAAACATAACGACTAAAATCATCAACAAAGGAAACATAATATTTGGAATTATTTACTGACGCAATGGATGGACCCCATACATCAGTGTGAATTAATTGAAGGGGTGCTGTAGATACATGCTGAGAAGAACCAAATGGCAATTGATGTGCTTTCCCTAATTGACAAGCATTACAAATTGAGGAAGAGGGAATATTAGTATCTATAGCTAAATTATTATCTTGTAGAATTCTAATGGTAATTGGAGATGCAGGGTGCCCTAGCCTTCTGTGCCATTGTTCTTTCGAAAGTTTGGCTGTCAGCAAGGCTTGACTGAAATTATGCGGTAGAACGTATAGGCCATTCTTACATCTACCGTGGAGCAGGAGTTTCTTCGTGACTCGGTTCTTAACCAAAAAATAGTTTGGGTGAAATTCTACAACAGCATTATTATCAGATGCTAGTCTTTGTACTGAAATTAGGTGCTTATTGATTTTAGGAGCATATAGGATATGTTTCAGAACAAGAGATGAACCAGAAATTAATGAATTCCCAATATGAGAGATAGACAAACCTGCGCCATTTGCAACCTGAATTTGGTCGGTGCCAGTGTAGCGTTCTCTGGTGGTAAGCCTCTCTAGGTCATTGGTGATATGATCTGTGGCTCCAGTGTCAACATACCAGTTTGTGTCACTAGTGTATCCACTAGTTGCCAAAGCTGCTTGTTTGAGATTATTTTCGGCTTGATATGCCTGATCAAATCTGTGCCAGCATTGCAAAGCATCGTGATTGGGCTTACCACAAATCTGACAGACAATGCCTGAGCTGCTTTGTGTCTTTGATGGTTGACGTCCAGGATTGTTCACAGTACGCCTTGATTGTCCATGACCACTATTTAACTGACGACTACGACCGCGACTACCTCGACCTCCATTGGCACCTCCACGAATGGATATCCTATTGACATTGTTAGCAGATGAAAGTTGCTCAAATGTACCCTTACGCAAGTGCCGCATCTCATAGCTCAGCATGTGAGCATACACGTCGCTGACAGTGTATACATCTGTTCTGGTTGTAATGCTTGTGACTAGAGGATCATAATCTGGACCAAGTCCTTGCAGCATGTAGGCGATGAGTTCTTCATCCTCTATTCGCTTGCCAATGGCAGCAAGTGTATCACCAAGATGTTTTACTTTACGAAAGTAGTCAGCAATTGTCATGTCCTTTTTCTGGATAGTAGAGAGTTCCATACGGATCTGCATTGCTCTTGCTCGAGATGTGGAAGCAAATTGTCGCTCCAGCGTAATCCAGGCTTCTCGTGCAGTGGTGATTCCAACCATCGTGCTGAGAACCTCCTCAGTGACTGATGAGTTGATGAGGCTGAGTACCAGCTGGTCCTGGGGGTACCAGACTGTGAACTCAGGGTTGATGATAATTTTGCGATTCCCTGTTTCTTCACTTGGTTCAACGGCGATCGTCTGGCTTGGTGCAGGCATGGATCCATCCACAAAACCAACAAGGTTTTGGCTACGCAAGTAGGGAAGGATTTGGGTAGACCACAGTAGATAATTTTCTTGTGTAAGCTTAACACTAATCACCTGACTGATCGACGGAGAAGACATTGTGTTTGTTGGGATTGACATGTTTAACAGCAGAGGCTATGGATCTCGTGGATCTTATTTCTGCTCTGATACCATATCAAGTTTATGCAAAACTGTGCCTCACACTATTGAGGACATATTCTATTTATATTGGCAAAAGATTAACTAATAGATCCGATTTCATAGGAAACTAACGAAGTAAGCCTATTCTTATGGCATGACTAACTTCAAGCTATTCTAATGGATTGACCAATTCTAACAGTCAGAAGGACGACAAAATCTTTGGTGGAGTTGGGTCTTTAGGGGGCCATGCGTCATAAGAGAGATTATGGCTCTCACGGACAAGATAGACAAGGGCGACTCTCAAGTGGGGCTCATATAGCCACGTGAGAGTTAAGATTGAACAGTGCCATGATGTGATTGAGGAGGACGTTGTATCATCCAATACACCAA